TCGCTTTTCAGACCGATGAGCTTTGTAAAAATCGACACGTTTCAGAAAGGCGGGGCATAGAGGAGAAACAATAATGTACAGTATGTGGAAAATAATGTGTTTTTTTAACCTTAAACCGCATAAACACATTTCATTACACCAAATACACAACATAATGTTCTGTTTAGCAGCATCATATGACCCCTTTAATGTTCTTTACATAACATCTCTGTATCAACTAAAATGCAAATTATTAGAGTTAGTAAATTTACGTCACATAAAATCCTTGGAAAGAAAGATTTTTTACAAGCTGATTTTTTTTATAATATGTACTGCATATCATAATTCATTGATATGTTAATATATAGTGAATCAACATACTGTAGGTCTATTTGAGTTTGTTTTGTTTTGTTCTCTCGGTCTGTGGTCACTTTGTCAAGGAGTTGGAGGAAGTCTTGAAGAATGAACTCACAGGAAACTTTGAGAAAGCAATTATGGCCACGCTGGACCCGCCTCACATCTTCATGGCTAAAGAGCTGAGGAAAGCCATGAAGGGAGCTGGGACAAATGAGGACGTGCTGGTGGAGATCCTCTGCACCAGCACCAATCAGGTTATTCCTTATTAGATTCGCAGAATAGTCACTTAAAGTTCAAGCATCAAACTTAGCTGAAATGAAATAATTACTTGATGGTATATCCCGACTTATAAGCATCACTTCTGTAATACCATATATATATTTTTATTAACAGGATATTCTGAATTGCAAAGAGGCGTATATGCTAGGTAAGCTTTGATCGGATATAATGATCAATTTATGATGTAATGAAATATGAAGAGACGTGATTTTTTTGTTGTCTCATTATTGAGACTGTAATATTATTGGTAATAAAAATAATGCATGATTGTAGTCATGTAACAGATCTTTTGATCATCAGTGCATGAGCAAGATCTGGAGGCTGATATTGAAGATGACACTAGTGGAGAAGTGAGGAATCTTCTGGTTTCTCTCCTACAGGTAAAATATAAATACACCAATGAGATTGTGTCCAATTAATTTGCTTTGGCTGTTTTACACTTATTTATGGAAGCTTGTTTATGCCATGGTTGAATTCTTAACTTTTTTCTCGCAGTTCTGAGAAAACATCTCACAAATTCTGAAAAAAATAGTAATTTAAGTAAACTTAAGTAAACCTCTTTTTTTTTACTTTTACATCTCAATTATGACTTTTTTTCTCAGAGGTTTGAGTTTACATCTTACAGTTCTTTTATTCTCAGATTTATAAGTTTACATCTTTGAAATTTTGTTTTAGTTTCCACCACGGAGTAAAAAAATTTAATTGTGACTTTTTATCTCACAATTCTCGCAATTGCTTTTTATCTTACAATTCATTTCTTTTGTTTATATTGTTTATATCTCGCAGAATTGCGAGAAAAAAGTCAGAATCGTTAAAAATAAAAAGTCAAAATTACACATTAAATTTTCTTTTAATCTCATGGCAAAAACATTTCGTACTAATTTCACAGTATTAGTAATTAGCAATGATTTACTGATATGCAAAATATAGGACACCAATTAATAATCTGGTGCAGAATTCCTTTTCTTAAGGAAGATATTTTTGTGTTAGCATGCTACAGAATCTGCAGCTATAGTGCAAAATTAACCAGGAAAAATGTATCAATTGAAGCTATTGTATTGTAGTTGTTATTTGCTATAAAGAACTGACCTTCACCTGCAGGCCAACAGGGATGAGTCTTATGAAGTGGATGAAGCACTGGCAGAACAGGATGCAACGTCATTGTTTGAGGTGACCTTTACTCTGCTGTTACATTGTTTATAGCTTACATAAGGAGTTTACAGTATAACCTGTTCTATATTCTTTTATACAAGTATTTTGGGTTGCCAAGTACATGATTTTCACACAGAATTTGCATTATTCCACAGGATTTTTCTCTTTCTTTCTTTCTTTCTTTCTTTTCTTTTTGGGATATATTTGATTGGCTCTTTGAGTGTTTTTGTCAAACATACCTGGCAACCCAGGTTATTATGCTGACTGAATGAATGACTACCAATTGTTGGTTTTCCACAGGCGGGTGAAGACCGCTTTGGAACAGACGAGTCCACTTTCACCTACATCCTCACTCACAGGAACTACCTACAGCTTCAGGCCACCTTCAAGATATATGAAACTGTACGGTCAAACGCCAGTTATACCTATCGCTGCTTTACGTGAGCCATTTCAGCAGAGTTTCTGATTTCTCTTTTGTTTTCTTTCCATAGCTCTCTGGAACAGATATCCTGGATGCGATAGACAGTGAGGCTACAGGAACATTAAAGGACTGTTACATTTCTCTGGGTAACTATAACCATCCAAACTATTCAAAAGCCTTTTGGAAATTCGCTCTTTTGAATCAGAGTCATATTGCAGTGACTGTAAGCTCCTGAAGGAATAAAACAGGACTTCATGTGTTTGATATTTGAGTACCACACAAATCATACGGTGATTTGTTTTTATGTGAACAGTGCGATGTGCTAAAAACCCGCAGCTGTATTTCGCCCGTCGTCTGAACGCTGCCATGAAAGGAGCCGGGACAGACGAGGACACGCTCATACGTATAATTGTGGGACGCTCTGAGGTAGGGATTATTATGGACTTGATATCACAAAAGAAATTTTTCATGAAAGTACTAGAAGGAAAAAGCATATTTTCTTTTCCACTTTCACTTCCAGGTGGATTTGGAGACCATCAAAGACATGTACTTGGAGAAATATGACGTGACCCTGAAGGATGCCCTGAGCTCAGAGTGCGGCGGTGACTTCAAGCGCCTCCTCATAGAAATACTTCACTGAGTCACCATCAGATAGAGCCAATAACTAACCCTACTGATGAAAGAAAGTTCTTACAACACTGCCTATAAAAACACGTATACACTCACTTCTTACTGTACAAGAGAACACATGTTAGCTCATTTTGTCACCAGTGCAATTTGGAATCGGGTTGTAATCACTTAATTATTGGTTAACAGTTCCCCAAAACTAAAGAGGTGCTCCATTTGACAGTTTTAGAGTTTTTATTGGAGTAAATTTGACTTCTGCATTAACTCACTGCACACGTGCCTTGACAAAGTCATGAGTAAAAGCTCAGTACTTCATCATCCATTTCTTACAGGACAAACCATGGAGCATCAAGGGTGATCCTTTATTTAGTACTCTGTCTGTTCACACAGGATGTTTGTATCTTTTCGCATCTATAAACCAAATATGTAGATGTATGGCTGGCGACTTTAGTATTAATATTGTACTAGTTATATGCTAATATTAAAAGTAGCTTGCTTAAGAGCTAAGGTGGTTAGTGCTTCAGTCCTTAATAATGCTTTGTAACACTGGGCATTCATATTTTGAACAGCAATTGTTATACGGTGGGGACTGTTAATATTGAAAAGCAGTGGTGTGAACATATTGTTGCAATGCTTTAGAGTATATCTGTTTTTGAAGATAATGTGAAAATGACTGGATAGAAGAAACTGATTAATATTATCAGGTTAGAAATCAATATCTCAGTAGTGGTCAAAGAATATTGAGTGCACATTATCAATATAAAGCATGCTAAAGTAGATTAAACACACCCCTGTTGTGGACTCTTTTTTTATAGATTTATAAAATAATAATAATAATTTAGTTTCTTCTTGCTATACCTGAAGACAGGGGATTGCAAAAGATAGCAAATGGACCAGTGAACATATATAAAAAAAATACAGATTTTTCTTAAAAAAAAAAATTAAAACTACGAATTGAAAAACCTATATATGAACATTAATTAAAGATGAATTTTTCATAATATATTTGAATGCTTGTTAATGAACATTAATTAATGCTTGTTAATTTAAGTTAAAGTATTACTATCAAAATGTAGCTCTTTTTATATTTGGATGGCTGAGAGTTTGGCTAGATAATCTCTGGGAAACCATTTATGCACACTTTCTGTCCTCTGAAAGAAGATATTTTGAAGTCCAAATAACATCACATTAAGTCACAATAGACAAAAAAAAAAAAAAAAAAAAACATTTTCAAAATATCTTCTTTTGTGAAAACCATAAAGGGTTAAAATAACATGAGAGTGAGTAAACAGTTACGTTTTTTTTTGATGAATCATCTCTACTCTAGATACATCAAATAAAATTCTAGAATATTTGAATAATTTAATTATCTGTTCTGACACTTGCAGGCTGAGGACAGTTCACCAAAACCTTAGTGTACAGCAATAGTGTAAAACTAAGGAATCCAAAACTTTAAAGGAACACTCCACTATTTTTGAAAATAGGCTCATTTTCCAACTCCCCTAGAGTTAAACAGTTGAGTTTTACCGTTTTCGAATCCATTCAGCCGATCTCCGGGTCTGGCGGTAGCACTTTTAGCTGTAGCTTAGCATAGATAATTGAATCTGATTAGACCATTAGCATCTCGCTCAAAAATGTACTAAGACTGACGGAAAATGAAAAGTTGCGATTTTGGGTGCAGCAGGCGCAATGATATTACGTAGCGCCTGAAAATAGTCCCCAGCACGCTCCCTGTGCAAGCAGGTGGTCACGTTGGTTATGTTG